TGTAACTAAACGACAGTTGCATTCAGCTGCTTCTTTCTATGGAAAAAACATCTTCAAAAGAGCAGATGAGCGTGACCCCATTTCTCGTTTTGTTTCCCATTACTTTAATTGTATATATATTGAACATATCATCTATCGTGGAAAATTGCTTTCGTCTCTCTAACATCTGCAGGACACTACTATGGCAAAGACGAGTGCATCTGCTGACACAGCTTTTGCACTCCCCATTTGTTATTCCATTTCATACTCACAAATTTCAAACCTGTGTTCCTAAAGCTAGCCTGCAAAACCCACTGATCTCACTGGGAAGTGCAGGTGCTCAGCAACACAGCAGATCAGGCCATTTTTGTTTAGGTGTCTAAATATGCCTTTACTGGCTTAGACATTTGAACTCAACATTTTTGCTCTGGGAGCATTAATCTTGCATCTCAAGTGTACACTAAATTCCAGTTTGCTTCCTCCGTCTCAGTTTGTTAAAAATGTGGTTCCATGGTTTTATTAATACCATTCAACAGAGTTTTTTTCCTTGGTTCTTCAACCACACCACTTGTTCATTGGTGAGCCCTAAATGATCTACATGTAGTGTCCTGTGTATGTCCTGTGTCCTGTGTATGCATAGAGCATTCATTGTCAGAAGATGAATGCATCCAAGATGCTGAGGCTGATGTTTGTTGTAATTTCTTTGCATAACATCTTCTACTCGTTGTAATCCTTGTAAATCCGAAGAGATTCTGGTGTGACAGAAGGGCTGGAAGGTTTGCAATTAAAACTGGGGCTAATGTATTCTGTGAGTGACTCTGTTTAATCCCATGACTGTCTGTGTGCAGCGCATGCATATCATCCACAAATGCCTTGGTACACATGTTAACAATGGGAAAAGTGGCTTGGTGGAAGAATGTAACTTTCTAACTCAGCTGCTGCAGTTGGCAGAGGCTGCTCCTCCCTTGGTCCACAATTTGTCTTACCGGATCTTGTGACTGCCTGTGAAAAATGCCCCAAATTGTTTTTCTTACATTTTCACCTGCAAGACTTTAAATTAGACAGGAAAAGCATTTCAGCAGTATTGAAATAAATGTTTTTCTAATTGCACAATTTTTTTTTTAAGTGCATTTTTCAAAGCATTTGTTTAAAGATGAAAATACACTAGATGGGAAAAAAATAAAAAAAAAAAATCAAAAGGAGGTAGGAAACTGCAGAGTTCCACATGTCGAGTTCTTTTTAATCCTATTTTTAGGGGAGTGAAAACAGTTTGCCTCCCTTCAAATGAGCTGTCTGTTTAGTCTCTATAGGAAGTGGAAGTCTTTCTGAGATCCATAGATATCCTGGGATATCTACCAGGGACAAAGTCATTCATGACAAGGTTCAGCACCTGGTCTTTACTTCTTTTTATCTTCTACATGGTAGCATCACCAGACATGAAGGGGTGTGTGTCCTTGGTGAAAGCCAAGATCAGTATTTGACACTGGGCAAAACAGGACCAGGTTAGAGAGACAGAGAACATTTTCAGAAGCATTGAGCCCTGCCTTGCAGCTGCCATCTGAAAGATGCACTGGTATCCATCTCCTGAGGCACCGCCTATACAGTGCCTGTCTCTCAACCCTTCCAGTGTTTTGAACCTTTCCTATTGTGCTGTTGATCACATTAGTTGAGTTCCTGGCAAAACTAAAGGGCTTTAATTCTATGATACTTACCTAGGAAAGGAATAATTATCAGAGAATATATCAAGGAGTAAAATCGGGTTTTGAAAAGGAATGAGTCTGGGACAGGATCATGAGTAAAGCTCCTAACTGATATATTTTTAAAACCAAATAGGTAATTTAGTTCAAATGGCTAAACATCTAAAAGCTCACATGTAGTATATTCAGAGGAATCTGAGTCCCTTTCCCAGAGGCATGCAAGTTCCCAAGTTCCCGGGACTTTCCGTGGGAATTAGGCTTGCTAGGTACTTTAAAAACAAAGAGTAACAAAAATGTCAATGCTTCTAAATCACTTTTGGTGGTTTGAAAATACTATGATTCAGTCAGCTCAGTCCTTATTTTAAGCAGAGAAGCCTATATTTTCACCTGAAAACCCATGTTCTGCTTCTTTGCTTCTTTGTTTGTTTAATAGATTTTCTGTTTTCTTCCTTGGTTGGTAAAATGACTTCTTTTGAATCACAAGCACAATATCCCTACAGCAATGAATAACTCAACTTCTTGGTAAAACCAACTTCTTGGAAATTCACCACAAACCATAGATATGAGGGCAGAATCTTACGTTAGTGCAAATGTAAACATGGATTTAGTGTTTGTATGTATTTAAGTCATTTACACATTTACACCTCATTCCTGTGTGCAAACTAGGAGAATGATAAAATGTGCCAAAAACTATGGAAGTTGAATTGGAGGAGTCCTTTCAGATTTATTATTTTTTTTAAACAACACCTCTCTAAGTTTTTCCATTCTTGGTTTTAATGTGCCTGTCAAGTCAATCCTCTGTCCTGTGTTGGTGTCAACGGGAGTTTGCCACTGGTTTCAATGGAAATGTGTTTTGGTCCCTCTGCTGTAACTCCCTTGTTAAGAGAATCCTACTGATCAGAAATGACTCATTCAGAAACAGAACTTGCGATCTGTTTGAAAAACTCCTTTTACATATTTAGCACTGCTCAAAGTGTATTATTTAAAGAATCGTATAACAAATTAGGTCATAAAATTCAGCTGAAAAGTTCCTTTTTTTTTTCCTCAAACCCAGCCTCTTCCTCTCTCTGCCCAGCTCCTCCCCCCTCAAAAAAGTGAAGGATACAATAATGCCAGTAATTACGTGTTATGTGATTTTTATTGCCTTGCAATTTATTACAAATGTTTTTGTGGGTGGTACAAAGTATTTGAACAGGTTTTCAAACTAGTCAGAAATTTATTAAATATTGGTGATTGTTATTACAGGTTGTGTTTTATGATCTATGGTTGATTTATACGTACAAAAACCAAAAGGCAATGTAGCATAGCTCTCACAGCATTTTTCTTGTGGTAACGCTCCACGATGTAGAGTGAGCTGAAGGGACTCTATGCAAACTGAAGAACAAAAAGTGACCACTACAGAAACGTAAACAAAAGCAAAAATATTATGCATGCCCTGCTGCTTCCATTACCTCAGGTAGGGTTTGTAGATAGTATTTCAGCAAAGTTGTTTGCAAATTGTTCATAAATCTAAATATGATAGGAAACCTGAACCTGATTTTGGATTCAGAATGTTTTGCTCAACTAAATGTTGAGGATCTTGTAGTCCCGAAGCACGAACCTACAGACAAAAACCTCTTGAAATGCAGATGTAGAAATACCTTCCAGAAGAGGAGTCAGGTAATTGCTGTTTTGATGTACGTGTATGTCTGATCAAAAATCTGAACAATAGATTCAGGGAAAGGCACAAGGCACACCATGTATAACAGCTAGAACATAAGGTTACCCGGATTATTTCATGACGCATACTTTTTAAACTGCGCAGTAATGACTAATAGTCAAAAAAGGACACATGGATGTATTTGCCCTGCATATGTCCTGCAGATCCCAGGCTAGCTAGCTGATTTTCTCAGAAGTCCTGGTAGACCTTCCATATGTTATCCCATTTCAAATTCAGATTGTAACATCAACCACACCATGCCCAGGACCCCCCATACATCTTCTCTCCTCTTTTTTTTTTCACTATTGGTCACCCATCAGAAATTATTCCCATCCTGACTGGTTTGAGAACAGATAAAAATGAACAGCAGCTAACCACACAAAATCTTAAATTTGAACAGGATGTTTTCAGATAAATAAGAAACATGCTTCTGCCTGAAAAAAAAAAAAAAAAAAAAAAAAAAAAGACAATTCAAATGCAATAGCTGTTTATATACATTAAGGCTTTCCGGACACTGCAGCTGGTGGAAAACTATAGACTGCTGATAAATGTAGAATTGGGAACTTGCTCCACTTTACTTTATGATGGAAAATTTTGAAGGAAAAGCTGTGGCTGTTGCACGCACACAGGTAGCATCACCTTTACTGCACAGGCCTGGTGTCGCTGAGCTTACAGACATCTAACTTGCTGGCCCAGAAACTGGGCACTAATTTGTCTTCAGCTGCCAGAGGTAGTGGTGATTGGGAAATGAGTCACATCTCCCTCTGCTTCTGTTGTTGAAGCAAAGGGATTACCAAACTAATGAGCTGCAAGGCTGTCTAGGTTTCCCAAATTGTAAGGTCCCAAAGAAAAAAAAAAAAAAAAAAAAAAAAAAGCATGGCTTGGGCTTCAGGCCATCTCTATGTACTTGCATTGCAGCCAGCAGCAAAAGGTTTCTGCTTCATTTCAGCCTTCAAAACCCATAGGATTTTTTTCTCACATCCTCAAAACCAATGAAAAAGATTGGTATTCCTAAACTTAGAATAAAGGGGTCCAAGTGACCCTCTGGACTGACGGGAGAGGGGAAAAATCCCAAGTAGAAATATATTCAGATCCACGGTGGGCTGATGAAGGATAGCCTCATTTCTGATCTGAGTTTTATTCTGGCCCTAAAAGCAAATCCTGTCTAGACCGAGAAAGGATCCACATGGACTTTTACTGCTCAGCCCCTTCCCTCCACCATGCTGTGCCTGTCAGCATAATCCCAAGCCTTGCCTCAATTAAAACATGACGCTGCGCACACGGCTCTCCCCCAGGTAGCAGATGAGAGAAACATCCTATAGCTTAGGCTCTACCTTTGGAAAGTGTAAAAGCATTATACTGCTGAAAAAAAAGAAGTATCATGCTGAATGACAATAGAGGCTTTTATTTATTCATCAGTTGTTCGGGATTTTGGGTGAAAAATACTGTTAGCTGTAAATCTTTGGCGCAAGTTTTAAATCTCTGCAGAATCCATTAAAATACAAGGCTGCAGCAAAGAGGCAGATCATTCCTTCTTTAGGCGTTTAACTCCCATTTACATCAATGGAAATTAGATAATTCACACATCTGTTTCTTCATCTAACATTTCCAACTGTGTGTTTTAGGTGCTTGACTTCAGACCAGACCCTATAAGGACCTATCTGTGTGGCTCAACAACTTACCTACAGAAGTCTAGGTGCTGTTACAGTGAATAAAATTTGGCAAAGTGGAGGCACCTGAAGTTCCTAATTATTTTTAATTTATTTTGTGATTTCATTTACTCTTCAGTAGGTGTGGGCAAAAATATATGCAGTTTCTCTAGGTAAGTTTGTATCTTCCATCTTTATACCATCAGATTTAGAGTACACTGATAAAAAAATATTTTCTTAACTTTAAAGAGAGTTTGAATCCCTTCACTATTCCTTGATCCCTCCTAAATGTTCCTTTTCGTAGATGTTATTTGCACTTTTCAAATTTATTACTAAAAATACATGTGCCCATACACGTACACCTGCACCTCTAATTATTGTTTGCACTTATTATTGATTATATTGATTATATTGATCTAATTATTGATTACACTTACGGGCTATGTGTTTTTAGGTGACCTGGTAAAAACACGCACTGTAAAATATAGTTTTCACATGTAACATTGATAACATATCCATTTCAACACCATTTTCAAACACATCTTACAGAAGTATGTTTAAATTCTACACAATTTAAAAGGTAGATGACTGCTTTCCTCTAAAGAATATATTATTCTGTGGGTAGGTGAGCCACTTGCTCTTAATTTCTTATCACAAATCATTCTTTTGTCTCTTGATAGTTACTTTGTTTTTTTTCTAGAACACTTCCATCAAGTTAACTGCAATGAGGTTTCAGAACTACAGTAATTCAGGAGATGTCAAAAGCCACATGAGCATCTGTGTCCTGATCTTACAAGGCACTAAGCGCCCTGAGGACAATCCAGAAAACCCATTTATCTGTACACACAGCCCTGTATCATTTGCAGCCCATGACTGTAGCTCTGACTCCAGTGAAATCAAAGTCAGATCTTCCTTTAGTGCTCCGTAATGCTGGGGCTTCACTCCGCCAACCTTTAATCAATGCTTTGCAGCTGGGAAGAGGGATCCTTATCTACAGTGGCTTGGTGACATTACACCACAGGGTGGTGCCCCAGTGGTGAACCTTCTCAAGAACCTAGCACACATTTGGGGCCAAGAGCATGGCTCTATCTTGTATCTTCCCAGACACATAAGTAGACATCGTCAAGCCAGCTTACTGGGTTGGCCCTGCCTCAGAAATGTTCTCAGTGACTTTTCCAGGCACTAGCTATAGGAAGCCATCAAGATGCTAATTTAGGACTCAGAACACCAAGTATTGGTAGGTACCGAGTATACTCTAGGTACTGGCCGTTCCCATGGGATGTTTTCTTTTTACAAAGAAAAGCAGGGAGAAAACAGCGGTGGGGATGCTGCAAAGGAGAGCAGCTGAGTATGCCTGAGTCCTGCCTGAGTGTGTGAAAACAAGGATGGGCTCACCCCAGCCTCTACGTTCACAGAAGGGGTGACTAAGCAAGGACTCCACCCTATTTCAGAAAGGCTGTGATTTTCAATTCCTTTCAAGAGTACCCGTGTCTGTGGTTCAGACATTCTTCTGCTGAAACACTGGTCCTTGTTCCATCACATTGTCCTGGTGGGGGAGTTAAGTTTGAAGTGTGGAACTGCTCCCCTGAAATCCCAGCTGAAGTTCCCAGGAGTGTGTGTGAGCCTCAGGCAGCATGGCAGGGCTGGATGCCCTGCAGGGTTTCACCTCTCCAGAGAGGGGTCAGAGGTGCCCCAGGGCCATGAGAAGCACAAGGAGAGGCCATTTGCCTCGGAAATGGCTGGGTTGGAAGCAGGTGGGACACCATGGGTGGAGCCCACTCACAGCAGACTGGTGACCTTACACGATGGGACCGAGCCAGGTTGTGACAGATGGTATCCCTGGATCTGAGACTGGATCCTGGCTCTTACTGTTTAGTTAATTAATTGGGAGGAACATACAAATTAACTTGGTAAATTTTGAATACAGTTTAAACGCCTCTGGTTTTGCAGATAGCTTGAATCTGATGATGAGTACAATGTAAGTTGCTGGTCAATTTTAGTGTTTTTCTCCTGGCTATTATCAGTTGATTTGCAGAGATAATTCTGGAAGAATGCTACTAAAAACCCTATAATGAAGCTGGTGAGGTTTATTAGATAGGCAGTACTAATGGGATAGAGATATTACTGGCACTGATATGTGCCTCAGCAAGTCCCTGGAGTAAAACTGTCTTGGTGGAGTGCATTTTTCCAAAGCAAACATAATCTCTAAAGTGCCGTATCTTATATCAGGTAGGCTGGAAGTCTGGTTTCTGAAGCTGCCGCCTGAAATATTTTACACTGTTAAGACAGAAAGAAAAAGAGACAGAAATACCCCTATACCCACCCTGCTGATAGATTTCCCTGTGACAATGGGAGAAATGGCAATCTGGGTTTATCGCTGTGCAGTGGGTGCAGGCTGCCTCTCAGGAAGGGCTGTGCCTGTCAGATGTGAAGTGGCATTTTGTGGAGCTGTAGCCACGCAGGGAAACAGGGATAGCAGGGCAGGGTTGAGCTTTAGCCGTGAAGCCTCTTCGTGCAGGCACAAGCTTGCAGGCAGTCAATTGTCCCAGCTAAACCTCCAGAGGAATTGCCTCCCCTTTGGTGAGCTTCGAGATACTATTGACACTCTAAAGTATTTCTTTTTTATCTCAGCAGTGCAGCAAAAGGAGCTGCCACAGCCCACTCTCAGGGCAAAAGCCCCATCCTCTTCTGTCACTTCTTTTAAGATGTGGGTGATGCTTCTGCTCCAAGATAGTCCATTTACCTCCACAGTGGCTTTTTCCAGCAGGTTTCCAGGAATGAGAACAGCTGGAGAAACTGAATGTTATGCTTCATTGATGGGGGAAATTCTCTGTACTGCAATATTAGTACTCACTGCCTGTTGTGGTCACCAAGCACTGTCATCAGCAAGGTTTCAAGGGGATGGTAAGGAAGTGGGATGTACTGAAGCTCTCACGCTTGAGCAATACAAGTCCAGAAGGGTAATGCGGGGAGTATGTTTATCATGTAAACAGTGAAATGTCTGTAAAAGGGGAAGTTTTATGCAGTGATGGGGATGTGGGAAATGAGAAACCACGAATTAATGAGAAACCCTACCGAGGTTAAAGTAATTTACTGATTAATCTTGATTTCACTTCTTTTGGTCAGAGTGGAAGGGAGAGACTCTTAGGCAAATATAAAATACATAGCATTGCGTGATAAATCTTTTATTGACAGGGATCTGAGATTAATCATGACTAAAATTTATCAGTACAAATATCTTATGCTGTACCATTGCACAAGGTATTTTGGATGTCCCACCTGGACAGCTGTTTCATACACATTTTTTGAAACATTACTGGAAATCCTCTCTTCTATGTTTACCTGTAGGGCTTCAGTAGGGTATTGATTCTCCAGGGGATTTTGGAGAATCAAAAAAAAAAAAAAGTCACTAAAAATACCAGTGCAGTAGTGGTGTGATTAAATGCAACCCAAATTTCCAGTCTGATTTCTTGGGACCTTCCAAGTATAGTTACAAGGTTGTGTAGAAAGCTAGGAATCTCCCCTTCACTTCTGCCCACATCCAGCCTTCAAGGTCATGTATAAAATTACTTCCCTCTGATACCAGGATTTAATGTGATTGTTTCTTTTTACCAAGGCAAGATTTCTGAGGATGATTTCTCCAATTTGAGGAAATGCTGAGAATAGCAGCATGGTAGAAGATAGCATCATTTTTAGGAATGGATATGAGACACAATTCCTCAAGTGTTTTTTAGTCAACCTCCTGGAAATGGACAGTTGATACAATTTATGATAAAATGCCCATCACTGGGTATATAGACATTGGGGTGAAAACTGTAGTTCAGAACTGTGCCATTTGAGAGAGAGAGAGAGAGGAAGGACGGAAGGAAGGACGGAAGGAAGGACGGAAGGAAGGACGGAAGGACGGAAGGACGGAAGGACGGAAGGAAGGAAGGAAGGAAGGAAGGAAGGAAGGAAGGAAGGAAGGAAGGAAGGAAGGAAGGAAAAGAGCTTGCCACGAAAATTGTTTTCTTTTTATTTCCCAAAGTAAAATTCTCAAATTAGAGCAGCATATGCTGCCACAAAGCCTATGTTAAATGATAGATTAGTTACGGGATGAATATCCATTATCTTATGAATCATCTAGAAAGGAATGGGTGTTTTATAGGGAAGAGTTTATAGGGAAGAGAAACTAGGAACTGCCCCACTGTGGTTTCCAATTGGAAGCAGCCTTGTGCTCTAATCCTGGCACATTGTGAGATGCCAGGCTGTTACCATATCAATGCTATTTTGATGCTTTGCTTGAGCAAACTGGCCTTCTAATCTGATTGTCCTTCATTCATTATATTTTATTATAAACTGGTTTAGAAAATGTCAAACTTAATATGCCAAGAGCAATCAGCATTTTTCTAGATATACCAAGATATTGGTATGTACAATTTCAAATAGCAGGAGCTGGATTCTCATAAACAACTATAAGCTGCATTTCCATTCCATACAAAATTTCATATAAATTAACTTCCATCTGCTTTATCTGCCATGTTTTTCATGTTTCTTTCTCATTCTAGTCCATTTTTTTGTTCATTGTAAGGACAAATAAAATAAAAGCTTTCATTTATATATCTAAGTATATAATATATTTAATTAAATAAGCATACAATTTGGGGCCCCATGGTTCTGAAGCATGACTTATATTACCATAGTTGTAGCAGACCTCTGGAAAGATGAGTTAGAAGAATTACCTGACAGCTTGATTCACTAACACAAATCACAGAAGGGAAAAACTTGTGGCAGTAAGAAGCCCTGATGAGCTCCAGGATAAAGAAGTGGGAAAGAAGTTTCCCCAGGAACTTTCACCTGATCTTACCAGGGTAAGAAGTAAGAATGCTTTCACAGAGAGAACTGGAAAAAGGGAAAGTGCAAAAAACAAGTCGCAACTCTTCCAGACTTCTGTAGATGAAGAAAACAACCACCATATTATTGTATAAGGTGTGTATCAGAGAACAGTTTGACACCAGATTTGGCATCCCACAGGCCATCTTAGGGCCTTTCTAATTGCCCTGTGGTTTAGCCAGCACTATTATGATGCTGGAGCATCTAAGCTAAAATGAAAGTTAACCTGGCTATTCCATCTCCCAAAGGCAAATTCTCCATTTAAATGTTTGGCCTTCAAGATGAGAGCAAGGCAAAATCCCCATATGTGTGAGTAGATTTATTTATTCTGAAGGTATCTTCTCATGGAGAAATCAGGGCATATTTAGCTCACACATAATTGCCATGCATACGTTGTCTCTAGTGTGCAGCTGGCTTGCATTTGACCAGCTCAACACAAGGGAAAAAAGAAAAATTGTTTGTTGCATCTGTCCCTTTGGACTTGGCTCAGTTGCTTTTACTTGTTGCAATGTAAGGTAATTTTTGCAGTATTACTGTATAAATAAGATTGAAGGAAATAAGAAAATTTAGGATTATATCATGAATGTTATTCCTGTTGTGTGGTCACGGTACACTTGTATTTTATGACCAAATTGTAAATTCCTTGAAATTACAATGTCACTATAATCTGAATGCACAAAGTAATGCATTAACAGTATAGAAGCATGTGAGAAAGAGACAATATATCCACTCCAATTGCATCATAGGAGAAAAAATAAGCATTTGGGAAATAAATTTTCTTCTACACACAAGAAGTAACAGAGGGGAATTTTAAAAATGAAGTGTCTGCACAGATTGAAAGCAAAACTTTTAAAACTCTTCAGAACTCTAACAGATGAGACATGACCACAATGTTAACAACTCCTATCAAATTCTATGTCCAAATATTTTTAACTTTCCAGGTGATACAGATGCATGGGTCTACTCCAGAGCATCAGAGTTCACAGTGTTTCACGTCCAGCAGTGCAGTTCTGACTTCATGTGTATAAGCCAAGAGAGTACTTTCTGGATGTAAATCCTGCTTAGGTCAAGGTCAGGTCTGAGTTCAAAGAAGACTTAAGTTTCACTTCAGATTTGTTTACTGTGAAACCTTGCCAGACCTCTATTGTCCATTAGGTCCTCTATGTCTTTTAATGCAACAGTTCAGTGATTGTGATTAATTCACAGGAGCCCACAAGGAGCCTCTTGATCATGTTTTACCACGTAATTGAAAATAAAATTGAGAGACTTGTTGTCTTCAAATGATGTTGATGGAGAAGTGGTATCCCTGGGACTCATAAAAATGTTCCTATCTGTATCACATTTTGTAACAATAAAAAATCTGATGGAGAAAACCCATTTCCATGTTCCAGCTCCTCCCTGCTAATATCTCCCATTATGCAATGCTGTCATTATAGTTGCTGGGTCATATTAACCTAAAATCTCTGATAATCCCTCTACCTAGGATGAGAGAGAGCTAATTACTTCTCAAGACTTCTGAAGAGAAGTTCAGAAGACTTAAGCAGAACATTTAGATCTGTGAAAATTTATAAACATTTTTCATACGGCAGGTCTTTTGTAGACCCCTTGATAAATAGTCAGCAGTGTGATGGCTACAATATTAAAGCCTCATTTCTAGAGATATTTCTACCATCAGATCAAAGCATCACAATATTTCACCTGGTATCAAACTGAAAGCAGATTCTGTTTTCATTAAGGGCTGAAACAAAAATGCACGGCACCTGAACCCAACAGGCTCACTCACCTTCAGCATTTTGCATGTGATCCCCTCACTGCAGAGTGCTTGTGGGTTTTGCCTCTCCCCCCCCCCCCCAAAACCCGCTGTGCAGAGGTACATCCAGCAGAGCTGTATGCATGGATGTGTCGTCAATAGTACCATTCATATGGTAGCTCTCCACGTTAGTCATCTGTCAGGGTGAGGTCCTTTTGCTCCACTTCAAACGTTCCTGAAATCCAGAGGGGGTCTGATTTCATGGGTCCAGAAGAGGTTTCTCACAAAAACAGAGACATTTTCAAGATATTCAGAACCACAAATCCAGCCCCCATTGAATTTCAGTTTCCCTTACAGGTCGTTATTGTTTTCACCACTTTATGGCAGTACTGGCCAAAATCAATCTTTTACAGCTCCACTTCCTACTCATACTAAAAGAAAAAGGTTGGGGCACTTAATTAGAGCTATTTATATTTTCAAAATGAGGAAGACATTCTGAAAAAGAAATTGTTTTTGCAGCCAATTCAGGGACCTTCTGTCTACAAAATCTGCTCTAGACACTTTCCCACCACAACTTTCTTTCCATTATTAGGAACTTACACCATGTTGTATTTAGCTTGGTATTTTGCCAGAAAATGTTCTTTAGGTCTCTATAGTACAAAATCTGACAGAAAGCATAACAGAGGGGAAAAAAAAAGAAAAAGAAAAAAAAAAAAAAAGGTATTTTTAAGTCCCTACTTTTTTCCATTTTCCCATCAGAAAAATTTTTTAAAAAAATATTATTAATATAAATCCATCTCTGTTCCAGTTTTTGCTCTGGTTATTTATACCCTTTAAATATGATCCATGTAGAGAAGTCCAAAGTTATTAAATCTGTTCAGATAGTCCTTCAATCTATTCAGGAGCTGAGTGTACCTGGCACAAGTACCGAGTATTTCCTTTTGGTTTCTGAGCTAGAAGCAAGACTTGAAGTAAATGATTTTCTGCTATGATAATGATGATACTACCAGACGTCCTGAGTGGAAAAGGCCAGGGAGGTTCGGAATCTGACTCACGTTCTGATATTGTCTCTTTCTTTTTTAACCTAGGAAAACTCAGCTCAGATTCCGTCTGTGGTTTTCAGCAAGAATACTGCTTTTCCCTTCTTCCCGCACAATTTTCCAGCCAGATTGACTGAACTACAGAAAGGTCAAATGACTTGCTTGGAGGGTAAGCTATGAGTCAGGAGCACAGCTAGTATTGAATCAAATCTTTTCCTGTCTTCCAGTCCAACCACTAGACAACACACAATTGCTTTCATTGACCAGAGAGTTCTAATGAAGTCAGCGTTAGCTGTGGTATACGCTAGCATGACTCTCTGAACAGCGTTAGTACACATTAGGAAGAGTCTACAAAAATCAGTCACCTTCTACCAACAATTAATTTGGTATGTGGAAGACAGCAGACCTTGAGTCCCTTTCTTTACATGCTTTGTGTCCTGCCTGTGCATATTGCCATTTGCACACTTCAGTCGTGCAGCTGTGCGCCCATCTGCACTGGGAGCTGGTGTACACAGCTCTGCTAGGGGGCTGACCTACAGCCTTCATTCTCAATCTTCTGGTCTTGGGATGTCCAATGGGATTTCAGCTGCTCCTTCTTTACAGGCAAGAAGATGGAAAGGGGCCTATTATTCTGTTCTGTTGTAATATGAGATCACGGTTGGGAAAATGTTCAGAAACACTGGACAAGATAAGCTCAACAATCTGTTTTGACCTTAGGCTCTACCGATGTTTGGATTTAGCTGACCTACATGCATCTGCACAAATGTTAGCAGAAAGATGTCTGGAAAACTTGTAGATAGACCGATGGAAGATACTGTTAAAAGAAAAAAATCATATATATATGACTGGAAAGGAGCTTGAGCAAGCATCTATTCTACCGTCACCTAAAGCAGGATGGGCTTTATCTACACCATTCCTAGCAGGCAACTCAGCTTCAGTGACCTCCCCAGGCTATCTGTGCTATCACTCGGGTTATTAGGGTAAACATTAAGGGAACCTTTATTGCTTCCTCTTTCTGAAATGAGAGTGTGCCACTTTCATGTATAGGATGTAAACCAATAAAAAAAAACAGAGTCCATGCCATTTGGAAGAGCATGTATTACAAAGTCAATGGTAGAGGAGTAAATGTGTCTTCAGCAAAAATTCCCTTTTTCTTGTGGTGATTTTTTCCAGTACAGAGAAACTGCTTTTTTCTCTGTGTACTGAATAATGCCTGGCTCTGCCTTTCTCCTACTAAGGCTCTATTTTCAAAGATTTTCTAAGTGTTATTCTATTAAACTGCTTGTGTATGTGAAAAAAAGGTAATAGGAAAAAGACATAGTTTTCAAATGAGACTGAAAATTTGACTTTTCAAAGCCAGGAAATTTGTATTGAATCATCTGACTGAATTTGCTGTGCTGTGCTGCTATGTTTTAGCTCATACAGCACACAAGATAACCACTGTTCAGAGACCCTGCAGTAACTCAGCAAAATAGGATGAATGGAGGATGACGTTTCTGCTATAAATCATTGGGTCTATTGTGTATATGTGTAATAGACAGGATTTGGGAAGCAGGAAAATATAGGACTGTTATGGAATACCAGAAGGAATCTTTTACTGATGACTGGATGTCCGCTTGAAATAAAAAAAAAAAAAAAAAAAAAAAAAAAAGACCCTCTAATATAAAGTCACCATATGAATTAGAAATGGAAACAGCTACTATTAGATCATCTTTTCCATCCTCCTGTCACTGTGGAATTGTTCCCTACCGTGTGTTCCTGAGTGTTTTGTCCAGTCTTCTCTGAAACAGTTTAAGCAACAAGGTTTCCATTGCTTCTCCTTGGAATCCTACCCCACACTGTAGTAGATCTCGTTAATAGGAGATGTTGCTGTAAAGCATAAATTTTCCTGCTCTCAGTTTCATCTCATTAATTCCACTTATACCCCCTTCTCCGGTCCTAATCAATTCCTTTGCCTTTTAAGTGTTTATATCCTCCTAAGACTTATGGGGAATTATCATACCCCAATTAGATATCATCCAGCCAAGATATTTGCAAAGCCCATTCCCTTCGTTTTCCTTCAGCCCACATCTAAGCCTTGGATCATTTTTTCCCCTCTCTGAAGTCCCTTCAGTTTGTCATCGAGTTGCCCTCAATTTAAGTTGAAGAGAGGTCTGGTCCCTACACTGCAGCCAGAGACGCGGCGATCGGGTTTCCAGAACACCAGCAATCCCCCGCTCACCACAAAGTCAGATGGAGGCGAGTGGCCGTGGAGACCACTCAGGAAGAAAAAGGAAATAAAGGAGAGTGGCAGTTTGCAGGGGAAAAGCCGCGGAAACTATCAGCTAAACAGCATCGGTGGTGGCACAAGGGTAGGAGCCCCTGCAGAGCTGCAGCCGTGGGGTAGGGCAGTGATGCCTCGCACCATGGGCCGGCAGCCCGAGCAGTGCTGGTGGGGCACGAGTGCCTCCACATCGCCCCACACCACTGTCCCTCAGCATGACCTCATGAGCGGCAGCAACCTGGGTGATCGTGTGTTTTGCAGATGGACAAAGCCCACTCTGTGTACAGGTTTTTTCCTCTTGGCTGTAAAATGAGGGGGTGGGAGAGAAACGTGGGCTGTATCATAGACTCCTGGTGGTCCACCCCCTCCGCCCAGCCCTGCAGCCTGTCCAAAACCTTGTCATTTTACCCCAGAAGGCAAGCAGGCCTGGGGTAGATCCAGAATGGATTACAACATAATCCAATTCACAGGGAGGGGTATTTTTGAAAGAGGATTTTTTTTTTTCTTTCTTCTGGCCGCCTGCCAAAAAATAAATAAATGCTGTAAGTCTCATGTAATGTTTTTAGAGGGCACAGTGATGGAAAGAGAAGGCTCATTTCCATATCCCTGTTAGAGAGCAGGCGGGGAAACTTCATTTTTGCAGAGGTGTGCAAAGCAGTCTGAGGGTACACAAGGTATAAATGCTGGCATGTCACACTGGCCTCTCAAGCCAGTATGTGTCTGAAGAAAACAGAGTTTCGTTTCTAATCAGATCAATGTACTATGGGTGTTTGGTCTGTGTTTCAGCATCAAAAAGCCTCCTCCTGAACCTTTTGTGACCTTCAGAGAGTTTTGCATAATTAGCTTGATTAAAGACATAGCACAATTTTAGCACCAGGGACCAAAACCCACAAATTACCGAGGCTCGCATGTTTTGCAAAATAATACCATTCATGTGATTATTTGTTTTGCTCTAATCATTTTTGAAATATTACTCCATTGCTTAGATTTGAATTGCTGGTTGTAACAGATAGCCAGTTCCCAAATAAAAAGTAAGTCTATACAAAAATGTTTCCATTGCATGAGAAAATGTTATTGGATTTCTCTAGTGTCACAGGGCTGAGTATGATGTTTGTAATAAGGGGTATGACTGAAAAAGGCCTGCAGTATGAGTGCTTTCCAGCTAAGTATGCTGTCATTTTGCTGGGCCTTCCTCAGGTTTTGCTTTTACCACTTCGATTTCAGTGGGTTAATCTCTAATTTTCAGAGTGGCAAATCCAATAAAAAAACAAAACAGACCTAGAACATATGATAATATAAAGCTGGACTTCCACGTACAGGGAGAATCAGGTCGTCTTACAGACAGCAGCCTGGGGTCTGCTTTCATCAAGGGACCCAGGGGATAAATGTGGGGACCTGTAATGAAGGGAAGTGCTGCCATAATTCTCCTTGGGTCATGCAGGGTAGCAGCTGAGCAGGCCGTGAATCCCCAGAGCATGGCCAGAGTGGAAATACCTGCCTGTTAACATAAATAAAGGGCAGCCCTTCGGCAGGGTGACCCATCTACCTCCTGTATGCTAAAATGGGACCATCTAGTTGTTTTCTCTCCGCTCACACAAGAGGTAGTAATTTCCCACTGCCTGAGGGTGGTGGAACAAAAAATGCTCAGAATGTCCCAAGAGTCTCAGGCCCAGACGGAGAGCTCTTTTATAGGATCCTCATCCTCTGCCAAACGCCATTTTTCTGCACTGCTTTGGTATGAAGTGGCTGTGGATCCCTGCCCATCTGCTTGCCTTTTCTGACAGGTTTCCTGACACACTCCCCGTCCCTCAAACAACAACAACAAAATAAAAAATACAACAAAACAAAACAAAAAAAAATCAGGCAAGTGCTCTGGGTTCACGCAGTCCGTGTTCACGTGCATATGTAGCTGTGTAAGGCCAAGCTCACATCCTGCTGCTCATCTGTCTAGCTTCCAGTAGCTTTCAGACTGAAGAAAACCATCAGCTACATTACAGGGCTTGCAAAGTATTTAAAGAAACCCTGCCCTCATTCACACTGTACCTACAGCCCTCACTGTCCACTGGCCTGCTGCACAGATTTATGCAACCCTCTGCTGTTAGCACACCCTCATTGCTGCAAAAGATCTTAGCTCAAGACCTTCATGTGTTAAAAGAAATTAAGGAAGTTGCAAAATCTGTTGGTACAATAATAACAGTGGGTGTTCTTACAGAAACCAGTATAAGCTGGTTGAGTGGCACATCTGGGATGGTTTTAAGAAGAAACTTGATTAATACCACAGATGACTGCTATTTAAAGCCTCTCTTTTTGATGCATAGTTTGGGGGAGGTTCAGTTTACCCCTAAGGAAAAAGCAGGAGTTAATACAGATAGTGAGTGTACATACTCTTCTGGATGATATTGATCATTGCCAATTTAGATTTGATGTTTTAAAAGTGGGGAACTTGGCTAGAATAAATATGAGGAAATTCCAGTGGAGCAAAAAGCGTAAGAAAACAGCAGGAAATCCCTCTCTTCTTAGATCAGAAATTTCACCTGACGGTCAGGTGAGTTCTCATCTGGAAAGCAAAGTGAAGGAGAAATGAAAGGTCAGTTATAATGGGTGCTAAGAAGAAAAGAGCATAAATCTGCTGCAGCTCACTATGTGAGACTAACCTACAAACAAAATATTTCACCCAAGGAAATTTGCATATAATGATTACAAGGTGAGGTTTAGTTTGGAAATGAGGTGCTCCGTGGCAGTAGATAAAAATAGGACAGGACATGAGGATAAGTCTGAAATGATAAATGCTGCTTGTTGGAAACCACATATGTCAGTTGAGTGCCAGAGAAAGAGGGTTTGGGAGCAGATAAATGTATTTGTGTGTTGGTCCTTTGTTGTTTGTGCTCCCTTTGCAGAGATTATAAGGACTGAAGACTCTAAGGCTGGAGGAACTTGGAAGAAATACATCTTCAGTAAAGCAGCGGGATCCCAGAATACTCATTTCACATGAAGTGTGAAATAGGTGGAATACCTGCACAGATACATTTTTAAAGCAATTAGATGTAACTGTTATTTACCAGCACTGGAAAGTCCACATGGTGTCTATTTGCAAGAGAAGATCACAGGAAGAAATCTTTTGCTTCAAAGGTTTAAAATTCACATTAATCTTCAGGAGAGGGAGGAATGTATTAGCAACAGAGGATGGACCTGCTTTGCAGAGTACAGTTTACAAAGGGCCAAGCCCACACAGACTCAGCTAAGGAAATTTAGCTCTGCTTGTTGCCAGAGAGCAGGTCTGAGCACCTGTGTTCAGTAGTAGAGGATGAGTGATGAATTCTCTGTAACACACTTGAACTTCTAAACAGTTTTGTAGCAATGTTCGTGCCTTTGGGTATGGAGTGGTGGTGGTGGAATCTTCTCTTGGTGTAACAGAGGGTAAGAGCAATGAGGCTTTTGGGATGAGCAGATTTTAGGCAGTGCTCAGTTCAGCATACGGACTGGTTGTGGCACCATATGGGAGGTGATGATATTATAGCAATAGATGTAATGGATCTGATCGTGATCTGGCTTGCGCCAGTTCGAGGCAGATGCAGCTCCTTCAGCTTTAATAGGCTTACCACAGCTTCACACCAAATGAAGTGAAACGAGTTTTGGGTACAATATATCTACATTAAGCAATGAAAGACTTGTAATTTGTGTGATATCTTTTTTTTTCTCTCTCTTTTTCTTTTTTTTTTTGGTTTTTGTTTTTTCTTTAAAGTGCTAGCATATTGTGTGGGGAGACTTTTTTTTTTTATTTCTATTAGCAGTTGCCATTCTGTTTGTTGTAAGCTGTGTGCGGGTTCCTATGCAAGACAAAGGCATGGCACTGCTCTGGCTGGGGAGCTTTGTGCCAGCTCTTTTCTGAGGAGTTCACAGCAGTTTTGGACACATTTATCTTCAATGGGAGTGGAGGGAAGAAAACAGAGCATGTGTGCACAGCAAAGGCAAACTTTCCAAACCTGGTTAATCTCACAGTACCCTTGCTGTGCAGAACCCGGCTGCTGCAAATGAAGTGGAGCCCAGGGAAGCAAAAGCATGAGGAATAGCAGGGAGGAAACAAAGGTGAGAAGCAATGGAGGAAATGAGGAGGCAACAAGTAGGGAGGGAGGAGCAGTGAGCAGCAGGCAGGCTGTGATAGCAGCACTGCTCTTAGAAAAGAAGAAAGAAGAGGGATTTATTTTATTTTATTTTATTTTATTTTATTTTATTTTATTTTATTTTATTTTATTTTATTTTATTTTATTTTATTTTATTTTATTTTATTTTATTTTATTTTATTTTATTTAGATAGAAAAAGACCAGGGAATGTGGACCTGTGCTGTCTTTCCTCTGTGTGAGAACTTGCTTGCTGCCAATCCATTTCCCACCACTAGTCATCAGCTTTGCCAGAAAATGTGTGGCTGGAGTCAGTGGGCAAATGCTCTTGTAGAAGTGCTCCTTGCTGGGTTCAAGGTGTACACATGCTTCCCCTTCATCCCCTGATCAGCAACTTGGCTCCTCCCGTAGCTGTGTATTAAGCAGGTCACTAGCCTGGAAGATTGGAAAGGAAAAATTGTATTATTCAGAAAGATAGGGAGGAAAATGGTATTTTTCAGAAAGATGGGGAGCAAAATGGGGGAAGGTGAACAGTAGGGAAGATGGGAAGCAGCAGGGAAGGCTGGGGCTGAAGAAAACAGCAAGAAAGCCATCCCATGGCCCTCCTCTAGCCTCCTGCTTGGCTGTGGCTGGAGTACATCTGATGTGTAGGCAGCACTCAGGGCCCAGGAATTTGTATGGCCTTGACATTTGCAGGAATATGCCTTGCACAGTTGTTAGAGATGCTTTTGTCTTGTCAACATGGGAAACAGCCTGGAAGAGTCCAGGCCTGGGAGGCAGTCACAGATTAGGGAAATTGTCTTTGGAGTTGTCTGTATGGGCCAATATAAATTTAAAGAGGATAGTATGCTATTGTTTTACTCTTTTTTGGCCATGGCTAAATAAAGAAAATATGTTGCAAATATATGAGGTATCTACTTTCAGCTTTGCAGGCTTAAAAAGACTGATGATCTGGATAATAGTCAAAGTTTGGGATTTCATTTTCCTATAGGCTTCTTGGATGAAACATGAAGAAGAAAGGCCTTTAAAACATTGTCCTTTGTGTGGAAAGACATTGCTGATTCCTCCAGCTGATCTGCTGCCTTTGCAGATGATTTCTGGCTGTCAAGTGGCAATCAGTTGAGGTCTGAGGGGATGAGGAGAACTGTGACGTGACCACAGAAAGCCAAGCAGAGTTTCACTGTGGGAATGTCTCCTCTGTCTCTTCCTCTCTGCCCGTCCCATCCTTCTGCTGAAACTCACCGAGCTGGACTCTGACCAGCCAGCGGAAAGCACCCTGCATCACTTCTGCTTCATGTGCCTCCGACGGACCGCGTGACCGGTCAGACCACACCATCTGGTGAAGGAAGGCAGAAAACGAGGAACTCGATGACGGTGCATGACAGAACCAGTGCGCTGAACCAGTGACGTCCCCGCGGGTCTCGGGGAACCCATGAGGTAGAACAGCAGCACAAGCCCAGTCACATGAGTGCGTTAACCACGCTGCAGTCATCCTGATGGTGACAACGGCCATGCAATGGCAAGGGCCGGGGCACATGCCTCTGCACAGTTGCAGAAGGGAAAATGCCTCGTTTATTCTGCTCCTAGCTACAGTTGAGGTCAACAGAGGCACTGTGGGCCTCTATCGCCAGTAACCTGCCTTTGAGTGTAGCAGCACACAGCATTGCACTTACCCCAGAGCAATCTTTAACAATGCCATTATTTTCTAGTATGTCAAATGTTGCTAGGAAGCTGCTCCTCACTGAGGACTAGCTGTGTGGAAGGTTTCGGCTCTTGGAGTTCAGCTGTTTTTAATTACCCACACAGATAAGTGTAGCTATTTATTTTCTTTGAACTGGAAAAGGTTTCTTTTCTATTTTTAACCCCTGAAGACGGCTGAGTAATTCAAATGAAACTCCTCAGTCCAGAAATAACCTTTTTTTTCTTCTTCTTCTTCTTTTTGCCCCATGAGGACCAAACCCAGTTTCTCGGGAGCCAAACTTCAACCCATACCTACTCAGTTCAGCTTGGTTATGTTCAGCCCAGGTTTTCAGAGTTCAGTAATAACCATAATATCTCAGCCCTGAACAGCATGGTATTATTGAGCAACACAGCTTGCGTTTGTCTTTTAAGAAGAAGTCCTTCCACAACACCACTCACACAGAGAGGCACTGCTAAGTAAGACTCTTCACTGAGTATGATGCTACTCAACATGTATAAGGGTGACAAGATCCAGTCCAAAACAAACATGTATGACCCGTTTTCCGAAAGGGCTCAGCATGTTGCCATTAATGTCACAGTGGGAAGAGGCTGCGTGCTAAGCACTTACAAAAGTCTGGCCCTTGTTTAGATCTGAATGGGGGCTCAAGCTCTTCAGAAAATCTGGTGGCAATTGTGGGTGCTGAGTACTTAGGAAGCAGTGGTGGTCTTGAACCAGTGCTGCCATAACTCCCTGATTTACACCCTTGTCAGCCGCTCGTTTTCAGCAGAATTGCACCCTTTGGGGGCTGGATCAACAGCCAGGCTGCAGGCCCCTGCTGGCATTTACAAACCAGGGCATATATAGATAGTTGTTGTTGTTGTTGTTGTTGTTATTATTATTATTATTATTATTATATTTCAGAAAAATATTTTATTTATTTTATTTTATTTTATTTTATTTTATTTTATTTTATTTTATTTTATTTTATTTTATTTTATTTTATTTTATTTTTTATTTCAGAAAAGGTTTTTGTAACATTACCCTGTTGCCTGAATCCGGGCTGCTGCTGACTGACTGCCAGCTCCCAGATTAAATGTAAGTCATTACGGAATGTTTTCCTCACATGGGAAAGACTAGAGTGGCGCGGTGTTAGTTTTGCCCTCCAACATTAATTCTAATTACCTCAAAATGCAAACATGTTTGAGTTTCCAGCAGATGACATTATTTTCTCTTTGACATCAGACATCAAAGAAAGAAAAATAAACATGGGACAGTGACAGCATTAGGCCTCTAGTCATTTTTCAGAAGGTTTTTCATGTTCTATTCCAGACTGGTTCTTCTTTAAGTCTTGTCTCGGATATTAGGGAGGGGAAAGGTTTACAGACTCAGAGACTGATGGCGTCTTTTCCCTTCCAGTTCTCTTTAAATAAGAGAGTGAGACACGGAGGAGGGGGGAAGGAAAGAAACAGTCTGGTTTAGATCAGGATTGGAGTCTCGGTTTTTTAGAGACACACACAGAGACACACACACCCCAATACTTGGGTTATTTTCTAAATTTATTTTTAGCTTTTCTTCTAAATGCCCATGGATGATACCACTGCATTTCAAAACTGCAATAATTCAAAGAGAACAGAAGTTTGGGAAATATGGACTATTCTGCCTCTGCCTAGCAAACACGGGAGCAGAACCCAAAAGCTTTGCAGATGTTTGGGACTCTCTGGGCACAGCTGTTCTGAAAGGTGTCCCTGCTGCTAAAAAACAAAGTTTCTAGTTATCCCCTCCCCAGAGTACAGACCAGTCAGACCATCCAAGGCCATGAAATCTGAAAAGGGACCCACCAGGGGAGCTGCCTCTCCTAGTTTCAGGGCTTGGCTGGTCTAGCTTTTGCTTGTGGCCTTTGTGAAGGCCTTGCACTAGCAGTTCCAGGTTGCCCTTCATGTGCCTTAACACAATGCTGGGACCCTCTCACCTCCATCCCAGCCTGCAGCTGGAGCCTGGTCTTTGCCCCTTTGGCCCCAGCTCCCGGGCTGGCCCTGGGGCTCGTGCTGGGCCTCTGTCAAATGGGAATAAAGCCACTACTGAACCTGACAGCACAGGAAGAAGACATGACCCAGTGATCAGAGGCTCTGACTGCACTTTGTTGAGGCAGGCTATAGAAAAATCTGTGTAAGAAATCAAATGGGAAAACTGTAGAGGTCCCTTCCCAGGGACTGGGATGACAAGGCTGCTGCAGGCCATGGCTAAGAGGCATGGTGCTGGCAGTGCTGTGCAGGGCAGCACAGGTGGCACAGCTGTGCTGCTTGCTCCTTACTTTCTTGAGCACTAAAACCGGCTCCCGGATTTTGAAATAAGGCCAGCCTGTGATGGGCACAGTCTGCCAGAGCTGGCACCGTGGCTGTGCAGAGCCTCCGTTCAGCACACTCCTCGCTCCCCAGCCATGGAAAAACTGCTCCTTCCGTTGCACAGGGCAAGGAGTAGAGTTTAACAACTCTTCTCCACCCCCCAGAAGAATTTTAAAAGTGTAGAAACAGATTCATTTTCAGTTAATAAATAGCAATAAATAAATAAATAAGTGCCGCACTCTGCAGTTGTTGCCTGCGGTGCAAGCGCCAGTGTTTTGAAGTGCTCTTGTTGGGACACCACAAATGTTTGTAATAAAGCTGACTGGCAAAATCTTGGGCCAGAGCCTCTGGGCTCTGCTCAGCCAGCTTCACACCCATCCTCCCAACCCATTTTCCCTTGCTGTGTGCCCAGGGCAGGCAGCAGATCCCTCGAGGTGGGGTGGCTGGGCCACTGGGCAGCATTCAGCCCGCCTCAGGCTCCCCAGAGCACGTTTATCCCAGTGCTGAGCCAGCTGAGGACAGTGGACAGATAACAGGATGGTAAGATGCACAAAGATCATTTTCGCAGCTCTTATCTGGTCTAGCAGAGGGCACAGCTGTAGCCTGGAGCCTGGTGCTGTCAGGCCGAACTTCTTCCCAGAGGTTTCATTTAGTCACTCCATGCACTACCTGGAAACTTCACTGCAATGCTCCTTCTGCCAGGAAGCATTTTAAGAAGGATCATGGGTCCTTTCATAAGATGTAGAGAGAAAACACCTGACTGAGGAACATGCTTTACCTTTCCAAAACTGCACAGAGTGATGCTGAGAGAGCTCAAGCAGGAGACACCCTGAAAGGCTCTTTTGAAAAAGAGAGCACTGAAAACCTGCCCTGCAGAAGTCAGCATTTCCATTTGGACACACAGAAATGAATGTACTTAAAATCAGGCTTCCTATGGAAAATTGAACCCGCCTGAATACTAGTACTGGCAACAGCTTTTCATGTTGGTAGAGCATACCAATCCTCTTTGGGCAGAGTGTATTGTCTGGGGATAGGTTTTCAAAATTAGGTACCCAAAATGCTCTTACAAATGGATTTGATTACTTTCTGTCTGTACAAGACCAGGTTTGTGCAAGGGAACGGACAACTGCCTGAGGAGAAATGGTGGTGGAGTACATGAATATCCTTTTTCGCACACATCAGTGCATATTTGGTATATGAGGTGGTGCTTACACAGTTTTCCTTTCACTGTTCAGGCAGCCAGTTATTAAATGTGGCCTGTGGTGTTTCTGTTTCTTTGATGTTTTCAAATGAGATCGAGTTATTTTAACATGGCCATTCTATCTAATTCTCTGCTAAGTCCATCTCAAGACTTCAGAGGAAATTTAGATCAGGTTTTATTTTGTCCAACCTTTTTCACCCCTCTCTAATTTAAATGGAAATAGAGCTATATCCTCTGGTAAAATTACATTCACAACATTGTGTTTATGATGTGAGAGATCCTCTCGCTGCAGAAATGCACGGTCCTTCCTTTCCAGTTAAAAGAGTCTTTTGGCAGCTAGAAGCATTGGGATGATGCAGAGCGGGTGAGTTCTTGTCACTTCTGGATGCTGAGCGATGGATGGTCACATTTATACATTTAGAGTCAGCCCAGTGCTTCACCCCAAGTTTGTAAAACGAGATCAAAGATCACAGAATCACAGAATCACAAAATAGTTTGGGTTGGAATGGACCTTAAAGATCAACCAGTTCCAACCCTCTGCCATGGGCAGGGACACCTCCCACCAGACCAGGTTGCCCAAAGCCTCATCCAGCCTGGCCTTGAGCACCTCCAGGGATGGGGCATCCACACCTTCCCTGAGAAAGGTGCTCGAACGAGATTACATCTTCAGTGAAGCCTGAACCAGACACTGCCAGGACTGCACTACAAGAATAAGGCTTAAAATCATTTGGTGCTCAAGCCACTGGTATAAGTCAGCTGCATGCTTTGAATGGTGTAGGACACAAGCTTGCTCATGAGATGTACCAGGCACCCCCATCCCGTTTCTGTAATCAGTGCGTGCACAGAGATTGCTCAATTGTTCCTCAGGTCAAGAGGACCCACAGAGTTGTATCCCTAGCAACTACGTAAATGTAGAAAACTCTACAAAATAGCGTATGTTTGTGATGAGTAGCTATGTGCCCGTTCATATTGCGTGACTTGGTAGAAGAGAGATTTTTCTAGTGTAACTTCAGAAGTGCTTAGGACAACAAGATGTTCTCTGTGGGAGCCGTCTACTTTCCACGTGGAAAATACACGATGGGGTTTTGGGTAGGATTGAATGTATTTTGCTGCTTTGAATTACCGTCTGGATGAGTCAACCTATTTTTGTGTGTGTGTGTGTCTGATCTCTCTGGTGCGGGCAAAAGGTTATTTCTGTGTGGACAGTGCCTTAAAGTTCCCGTTAATGGTCAGGTTCTGTTCAGATGCAGGAATTTGTCTTTTTAAATGAAAATAAGTATTTGAAAAGAATTCCTCTGTGATCAATACCTGTTTGGCAGTTTCACTCTTTGTGAAGCATGTGTCTGGATAGCAGTCAGAGCTGGCTTTGGAAGAGATGGCCTATTGCCATACCCCCTTGCTATTTCTTTAAAATCTGGCTGTAGTGCATCTTTTGGCTGGGGGGTCATTTTTTTGTTTCATGCCTAGCAATGATGTTTCTTACATTCTCTAAGAATGTCTAGAAATAAAGATAAGGGATTTTGGAAACTGTAAATGCCCTTATCTCTACTGCTGGTGTAGGTAGAATGAGCACCCAGAGAAAAATATTTTTTTGTATGAGGGAACAGCTGCCGTTGCTGTAGGTACTGAGTGAGGCCATGCTGCAGTCATTAATCTTGTAGTCCTCCCGTAGCCTCTCACTAATGAGAAATAAAAGCAAGAACGTCACTGTTGGGGGATTAGAAATGCACACCATAGGAGAGAGGGCCTAAATCCCGCACTGGTAATAGCTGTGCTTCATTCCAGGTGAAGCCTGGTATTCTGATCAAACACCACTTAATGAGTGGATCTATTTCAGAGAAATTATATTTCTGTGCTGGGTAGTTGCTGGGTGTTGGACAGAAGGTGATTTTCACAAACACATTCATGTTAGCTGTTTGTTGTTGTTTTATCATTATTTTTACAAAATAACCATCACTTGCTGAATTTAGCAGCAGCCACAGCTGTATGGATGTCAGTATGGAGAGTGCCCACTGCAGGCTGTTTTATTATCCTCTATGTTATCACTGTGCAGATAATATACCAAGGAATGACTGCAACAAGCAAATCCTTATGATTTAGATATCTAAAAACATGCTTTATAGCTGCTTGACATTTTAAGATCTAGTGGAAAGAAAAACATATTTTTTACCCCCAAGCATGTATGAGAAACTGAACAATGTGCTCTGTGCTTTCCTGTCCTACCAGTGTTGGCTAGCAGTCCCTTGCTGCTATCTGCCGGAGATTAAGCCAGCAATATCCGCACTGGGACACTTACAGAAGTTCTTCATAGCATGTTCAGTTCAAGATTAGTTCTTTGGAAACTGCCATGTAGGAAATATAACAGTCCTTCAGGGTGTTTGACTGAGGTGCTGTGCACTGTATGTGAGGGAAGAGAGTGCTCTGGATGCCCAGCAAGCCAATTACACAAGCAACAGTCATGCACCATGCAAACTGGGCAGCTGTTTCACCCTGTGATCATCAGGAGGAACTGGTTAAGGCATGTTTTGGTGCCTATCCACTGGCCCATGCCA